AGAGAGAGAGAGAGAAGAAAAAATTAATGCATCTTATCCGCCAACCGCAATCCGCGAAACTTTCAACGAAGTTTTGATTGCATAATTGTACGCTTGTCCGAGTTTCGTGCCGATCAAGAAATTCATAAAATAATTTGCATGATATAATTTCAAACTGCGCGATACAGGCGTCCCGTTTTATACACCGCGCACACCCGATTCGGCTAATGCTGATTACGCGGGAAATTAATTATGCAAGTCTGCGCAAAATATTATCGCTGATATCACAGACAGCGAAATAAGTTCAGCGTTCAGTGAAATTAGAATCACAACAAAATGCAAATACGCATATACAATCATATAAATTTGGATAATTAATTTCAATGATTTGAAAATATGAAAAGTTTAAATAATTACATACATAAACCTTTTAATGTAGAATTTATGCAGTTCTACATATTTTAGCAATATAATTAATGGCGAGCTTGTCCTCTTTAAAATTGCCCACAAATTTATGGCGTTGACGATAATAATCATATAATTCAGTAATATAAAATAAAAGTGACCTATGCTTAGGTATTTCAATTAAATAAATTGTATTTTTATCGTGCGTTTGCCATAAAAGTAAAGCTATTCCAGTAAAACGCACGAACGCACATGGTATTCTATGGTTAACAAAGTTTAATTTACCCTTTTGAAATCTTTATTGCTATTACCGACGGCCTGTTCAGTGTTAATAGGAACGTTTCAGTCGTGTCTTTAAATATACGAGCGATTCGATCGGCGTGGACTGGAGGAACTAAAGGAACGTCACGCTCATGTATGTCACAAACGCGCAAGCCAGAAATACACGTCACGTCCATGTACGTATATATACTTACTTATACGTGTCTGTTGAGAATGCGGCTCGTCATAGCCCTCCGGTTTATCCGGATCTGAAAATACAAAAGCTTTTAATGACGAAACATTGATGAAGCAAAAGAAAAATATATTGACTTAATTAAATGAAATTAATACCTTATCGATTCATGTTATCATACAAATTATTTTTACATTTACACGGGCTGCCTCGATCTTTCAAAATTAATCTAACAGTTTGTTTCTTCGACGTATCATCGTCTTTCTATTTTTAAGACTTTGCATAATTGCAATTATTCGTTTTGCACAAAAATATTCAATCGCACTTCCACAAAAGTTCAAATAAAAGTTGTGATTTTTATTTGCATAAAAACAAAAATGTTGAATTTTCCCTATCGTAAATCGTCGCACGGGGAGCAAACGTGAAGGACGAAATGTGAAGTGGAACGACAATCACCTCGTACAGAGAGCTGCACTGCATACATGATCTTCGGTTCCGTATTGACCTGGCACTCGTACTTGCCAGAATCCGTCTTTCTGGCGTTATCCAGCCTGAGAGTCCAGGCGTCGCTGCCTGGGGTGTGCTGGGGTCCGAATCGTGCATCCGAGCTGAACGAAAAATCTCCCGAGGTGAGGATATGGAGGTCTCTACTTCTCATCCAGGAAACCTTAAATCAAAAATGCACAGGCTGCAAAATCGGAGAAAACATTTAACAATCTCGGAATCTTCGCGCGCTATCGTAAATTTTAAAGATTTAATCTTTCGGGACGTTTTATGCCCTTTCTTCATGCTCTGTATACGTCTAATAATGCAAATGTAACATCAAAAGCAATTATTTTTGAAAACAAGTTTATAATTGTATAATCATATTTAAGATTAAAATTTGTGATTAAAATGCGTGAGATAAAGCTGCTACACAACCATTGAGCTTGAACAGTTGCATATTTAATTGAATACAATCGTTTATTTTCATGATATTCATAAATATTTATCTGCCACATCCATTAATATTAAATGCAAACAATTTATATGTTGCAAATCCTTTATACCCAGTTTTAATCAGAAAATCCGAAAGTAATCTTTTTACGTGTGTATAGAGAGATTTTTAAATGAAAGTCCGGGAATTTCCGATACCGATTACCGATTAACTTTTCTTGTTCAGATACAAAAAAATATTATACAAATAGGGAAATATGCGTGATGACCTGGAACATGTTACCTCTCGGTAACAGTACAAACCAGAGATGGTGATATGGATGCGCGCGCGATAATAGTGGCTCTCGGGAAGCGTAAAGTTGCCAGACGCTATTGATGACGCTCATTTGTCAGGATGGTGTCATTTAACCGATATGTGAGACCGTGAATGTCGACCGTCGCGATAAGCGCCGACTGACGCGATGAGCGCCTTAAAATCCGAGAATCTCGCACACACTAAATCAGTATATTCCACTATGACTTATTTCCCTCATTTCGCGACAAATCCGACCTCGTTATCCGAACACGTGTAATACATAATAATACATTACGACGTGATGATAATAAAGTTAATGAAGCGAAAGCGAGAACATGCGGCGCGAAGGGTGGTAACGCGACGATGGGCGTAATGGCGCTAATGGATGCTCGATTACTCGAGCGGCACGCAATTATTATTAATTATCATCGATACCGTATCAGCGATAGCGTTTTAGCAATACCGGCGTTCTCCTCTTGTTTAAAAACTTTACTTCGCTTCGGAATGTCTATTTTACGCTAAAAATAAGTAATGAAAGATACTGGCAGTTTTTTTCTCAAAATACAATTCAAATGTTACTCTTATTATAACATTACTTAAGTAGAAGTAATATTAATAATATTGAACATGAATATAATATTAAATATCAATATAAATAATATTAAATATTTGCTATTTAGTTGTTCACATTAAATTTTTAAACAAACAGAATGTATTCGTCTATAACGAATGACAAGGACTTAAAGGATATGTCCATTTTAAGCCAACAAAGATAGTTAGATAATTTTTTTCTGATTACATATTCTCTTTTTCGTACTTTCCTTCATTGTTCATGTTGAAATATCGCCGAAATATCGGGCAAACTATTTTAAAAATATTACAAATAAGAGAAAAATTCAATTATCCGCTCATTATATTGATTAACATTCATAATTATATGTATGCAGCAACAACATTGCAATCGCAAATGTTTGAAACAATTAAATCTTAATCATCTCATTATGGATTCTATAAAAATATTCTATGAAAATAAATATAAAAAATATTTCTGCAAAATATTTAATAATTTATTTATTTGCGTTTAATGTTTATATGATTTGATAATTAATAATTACAAAATGTGAATATGTTTTGATTGCATAAAATGGTGGTTTAATATAAAATAATATAAAATTTGCGTTTATTTTCTAGAATAATAAAATAACACAAGCCATATATAATATTTCAACCACAAATACATTGCGGTGTCCAATTTCTTGATTACTAATTTTATAGCTTTAGATAAAGTAATTGATATCGATTTTTCTCTTAAATTTGAATTGATCCTTATACGTTCCCTTTTGTTGAGTCCTCCTAATAGAACATTCAGTCTCAGCGGACCACTAAGGACAAACCAAAATTTTTGCGAGTGCAGCATCGCCAGCAAAAGGTGCAATCCAATGAATATGGTTACCGGACAGTGCTTATCCGATTCTCATATTTTTCAGCACTCGGTCGGCCAAACGGTCGGATATTAGATATCCGGTTATCGGCTGGTAGTCATTTCCGGTCTATATCCAGTTACCATTTTACCATTGGCTATTCCATGAGGTGCTTCACCGTGTATTAGCTTCGTCGAGGAACGCTTGGGAATAAATGATGCTCCTGATGATTTGTTGCCATTCCGGCGTATCGAAAAAGTATCGATTTGTGGCAAGCTGCAAAAACGAAACATTCGCTGCCATGTCGGCTTTTAGAACGAGTTTTAATAATGCTATAAGTAGTGATAGAAATTTCGAGCATCCGTGCTAATTTTCAGTTTAATTTTGTCCTTTTAAAGTTTTGTCTCTTCCTTGTCTTGTCCTTGTCTTTTTAAAATTTTTAAGCTCTATAATGTGAAAAATGTTTATGGTGACACCGCAATGTATTTCAAATTGTATTTATTACGCAATTATCGTATATATGCATACATGATTTATTGTTTACGTAATTGCATTTAAAGTATTCAAAACGGTTGCTTGGAAATAATAATATAACAATTCTCTCATAAATTTATGATTTCAAAGTCTCTATGAAAAATGCAAAGACATATTCGTTTATTCTTTATTCGAAGAATTAAATCGTGTTGATCATTTTTTTCTTCGATTCATTACTGGTAATACTGTCGAACACAATCGAGAATGTCTCATCGACGTGACATCGAGACTACGAGAAGTCCAATAATCTGAACGACAAAAAAAGGCAATGGCGCGTAGTCTCGAATATTCCGTCGGCATGGCTGTGGGACTCGAGATTTATCGTCGTTATTAAAACAAGCGCGGTGATACACGAGCGATCTCTGGTCGGGCGAACGTAGACATTATTCAAAGGGAACAAAAGAAGTCTAGATTAATCGGTAATTAAATCGACGGCGGAATACCGCAGTATACTGATATGCGCGCTTTCGCGACTTGCTTCTCCCGATTTTATCGGTCTGATACGTGGCTTGGTGTATTTGATGTATTTGATCATTGGTTGCGTCACGCGGTTTTAATAAAATGTCTCGTTTTAATAAGAATAATATACTTCATTACGTCATTATAAATTCTTACATAACGTACGATTCGGCGATAATAGGAAAAAGTTATTTAACAAAAAAGAAAGTAGAAAAATCAAATTAGTATTTTGAGGATAATGGATAATATAAAAAATATCTTTGCATCGAATAATGTGTTCTTTTCTAATGTTCTATTTTTTTTTTTTTTTTTTTTAATTGCTTTCTAAAGAAGCACGTTCTAGTCAAATTGCGATCGTTCTTGAATACAAAGTAAATAACAGATTATTACACGTGCGTGTAATATGCTTGTACATAAGCGGCGTTATAAGTGCAGCTATAATTAAAACTAAGATTTTTCACGTTGAATACACAAATCTGAATAGCAAAGCAGAATCGGTAAAGCGGCGAGGAGGATTTATGCGTAACGTATTGTAATATATGTATGACATGTTATCACGGAAGCGTAAATTATTACTAAGAATTTGATTATATGCGGATGCATCATATATGCATCAATTTAAACAATTATCCAAACAAAAAGTGAATTTACTCGTGTCATGCAAATATGCCATTTACAGAGATTCATGTGTTTAAATTTAATTATAGCTGAAAATGATCGCGTAAGAATCGATCTCCATCATTCTTTCATATGACAACCATTGGTTGGCTGCAGTCGTAAAAGCTAATTTATGAATTTTCACGTCTCAATATTGTTAAACATTTATCTTATTAATGAAATAAATTTCAAGCTCCCGGAAAGCGTAGACATTACGTGCGTGTTCACATTTGTTACATTTCATGATTTACGTTTAGAATTATGTTTTAACAAATAACAGCAAGTTTTCTCACCTAATTCGAATGTCAATAATTTTGTAACGACAATATTAATAAAACGTCATATTGAGTAAGAGCATTAAGAATGATCGCATTTTCATTATAGAATTGAAAAGAATCGATTCAGCAACTGAATATGATTTTATCTTCAATAAAAATGATCATCAAATCTTGAGAATCTCTTTTCAAAAAAATTTTAGAATTTTCTCAAATAGAAAATGTGCACTGTTATATATGACAAAAGCAATATAAATATACACCATAATCGACTATAATAATCTCATTTAAATCTCGATCAGACTTCTCTTGAGAGAGAAAATACTTCCGAGCCACGGAAGAATCCGCTCTTTTAGCGGATTTAATACAGAACCGCATAATGCGGAGTCGCGTGGAAAGGAACAAGCGGTTGGTTTGGCAATAACATTAGAGCGAGAGGGATTCACCATGCGCCAGAACACGTTATACGGCATGTTGCAGCGAGGGTGGTGGTGTATCACGGCATTTGGTCGTACGCCAGTGTGCCTGAATATATCTCGGATGGTCCAAAATAGAGCTGGCTTTGAGGTCGCGAAAAAGGAAGAAGCGGAAAAGATAACGGGGGCGGAAAGGGGAGGCGGCCGGAGGGATGGAGTCGCCGCGGCTGTTAAGGAACGTCTTGGATATGGGGAAAGAGAGAGACAAAGGATGGCAATAGAGAGCCGACATAACCGCTTTCATCTGCTGCGTCGGCACCATCCGGGATAAAAATGCAACGGCTCCTGGTCGTTCCAACATTTCGCCGTACCTTACGAGCATCCTGTCGCCGCGGCTCGACCAGAATTTTCCGCAGGATGGCACCTTATGCACGTCGTTCCATCACATTCGGCTACCTTCCGCAGAGAAAACCATCCGCGCGTCCTTTACTTGCTCTATACATTAGGTGTTGTACGTACCATCAATAACGTGCTCGAAATGTTCTCCAATTGAAATCCGACATAGAAAATTTTGGAACGTTCTTTTTGTTATTTATTTCTTGGCTGTATATTAGCAAATGCATCGTTATTCTATGATGTACCAATTTTGTGACAAAAATCGTTTATATATATAT